CGCTCCCTCCGCCCCGCGGCGAAGCCCCCGGCGCCGCCCGAGCAGGTGGCAAACAGCCGGCGAGGGGATGCGTTTCCTCCCACGCCGGGCAGCCCGGTGGGATTTTTGGCGTGCCCTACCCCGAAAAGTTCGCAGAGCGTCTGTGTGACACCAGCCCGGCTTCTTGCTGGGGGAAGCCGCCGGCATCACCCCGGCAGCGGGGCTGTCCCCAGGGCCGCGGGTCACCCCACGCTGCCTTCTCCCAGCGGGATAGCGGCGGCCACCCAAACCCAATGATTTTGGGAGCTGTTCCCTCGCCTCTGACTTGTTTTGCAGCAAGCTCTGCTTTTTCCCTTCTTTCAATAAATAATTACGAATCCACCAATATATTAAAGCCTGTCTTTTCACACGCTGAAGGTATTTATGCTTTCATATACGCCAAGTCTGAGTTATTATTCTTTCTTTCCCCTAATGGCTGTGTCAGTGTCAGATTCCTATCAGAGTAAAAGAATACATCCCAACCTCCCGCTGCTCTTTCTTTACCTCCAGGGATATTAATTACAGGGCAGGGTGCGGAGCGGCAGGGAGGCGGCGGCAGGGCCACACCATCTCCCTGCCTCTCCCGAAGCCGGAGAGCAGCACTCGGCCACGGGCTGCGGCTTGGGAACACTTTTGTCTACGTGCTGCGGCTCGCCGGGCTTGGAGAACCCCTCTGGGACACGGCTACAGGCAGAAAAAAACCTCTCCTCGGCCTTCCCGCCTGCTCCCGCCGGCAAATCACTGCCAGCCCCATCGCCATCCGCTTCCTCCCGGGCAGAGGATGAGGAGCAGCGGCTCTGCCCGGCTCTGAGCAGCCGCTGTGAGCGATGGCGAGACCCGGGCCGGAGGGATGCGCCCATGGGGAGCGCGGTCTCCTCGCCTCGCCTTCCCTCCCGGGCACGGCGCCGATGGAGGAGCCCAAATCCCCCCGCCCGGTGGGCTGCCCGGCGGGAACGCCGCGCTCAGGTCAGCCTCGCTGCTGGAGGAACTGCATTTTTATTTCCCTTCCTCCCTGGTGGAGTCTCCTCCCCGGATCCCCATCTCCACAGCGTGGCCGGGGGAGGCTTGGGAGGTTTGGCAGCATCTTCCACTGCCCTCTGCCGACGCAACGAGCAGCTAAATTTTAATTTCCGCATCATCAGAAAGCCTGCTCAGGTTCCTGGCCTGCTGGTTTTATTTTGTTAAGCTAAGCCCCTGCAAGCTGACGGAGAAGCGGCCTGGGGTACCCCAGGTGGTTCACAGGGAAGCTGCCCCCCAAAATGTTAATTCTCCACAGCAGCAAAGCAAGGCTGGATTTAAAACAGCAATGAGAGAGGTGGGAGAGCTCTTTGCCATACAAAACACCGTGTTATGGAGACTCCTTTCCTCTGGAGCTGCAGGAGGCTCTCACAGAGTGGGAAACAGGAGGTTAATACTCCTTGAACCTTGAGCCAGACACAAAACCCAGGGAGCAGCATCTCTCCTGGATGTTGCCTGCACGGTGCCTGGACAGAGCATTTTTTATCCCAGGCATCACTGGGCTGGACTGGACCAGTGAGCCTGAGGAGTAAAATCACAGAAGGGGCTGAAAAAGTTGGGGTTAAAAGTCTGGGCTGTGTGAGATGATGGAGATTTCATGGAAGAGGGAGATGCAGCTTGGGAAGCTTTGGGAAATCCAGGCAGGAACAGCTCTGCTGTAAGAACACGGAGCATCCCACCCAGAGGCTCTGCAGCTTCACAACCACAAGATGAAAGGAACACTGAGGAAAACCCTGCTCTTCCCTGGTTGGAGTCAATGCTAAACCCCCTTCTGTGTCTGCCACATGGTTTCCCTCAAAGCCCTGAGCCTGCCAGCTTGGTGAGGGATGCAGTGGATGGCAGCAGCACCTCCAGGCTCTCCAGATCCACATTTGGCATCCCTGGAGAGCTGGCAGGGAGCACCTCATGTCACAGCTGACGAGCCCCCGGCCACCCGGGCAAGGCGTGGCTGCCAGCAGCGTGTGCTCAGCTCCCAGCTGTGGTGCCAGAGGGATTGGCTCCTGCTCAGTGTGTGTGCCTGCGTGTGCAGAAGGGGAGCAGGAATGGAAATACCTGTGCAAACAGCTTGGGAAGTGCTGGGGGAGGACGTGGCCTCAGAGAATACAAATCCCCAGCGGCTTTGCAACCTGGCTTGGTTTTAGTGACATGGGGACGATGCCTGAAATTTCAGCTTTCCTATTTTCCAGACTCTGTACTGCATTAGGATGTAACTCTGAACTTCATGTAAAGTGTTAGCACGTTCTCCTCACAGTTCAGTCACACAAAACAATCCTTTTCCAGCCCCAGAACCAAGGACACCGCTGCAACTTCAGACACAAAAAGTGCAAAAACAGGGAATGGAGGAGAGCAATCTGGGAGGATGGGACTGCATCACCTGGAGCTCTAATTGGACAATTAACCCCAAAATGGAAATGGACCAAAACTTTAAAAACTATGAAAACTCCTGACTTGGGTCCATCTTGGGTGGAGCCTCAGCCAGGCTCTTGCACTGCCCAAGGAGAATCCTGTGAAGGCCTTTTAACAAATCCCTGCTTTATTCCTTTAACCCTGTCCAGCCTCTGTTGCAGGAGCCTCTCAAGGCACCAGGGACATGTAGGGTTGTCCTGAGGACAAAACCTCATTGACAGCATCTGCTGCAGGGCCAAAAGCTCCAGGAAAACGTCTCTAGTGGTGAGCAGCTCTCAGCAGAGACATTCACATGCTTGGCACAGCCCCTTCCTGTCATTAGCAATGCTCCTTTCTTTAGACTGGAGCTGTAGTTAAGACAGTTGCTGCATCTGGCCTGGCAGACACTGTCCCAGAGAAAAAAGTATCTCGGGGGCAGTCTTAGGGGTGTGGCAGAACTCCCTCCCTGGCAGGGATACTGGAATGCATCTGGAGTCTGGAGCCCAAGGCTTGTCCCAGGGAGAAGGCAGAGAGGGGACCAGCACACTGCAATGTCCTTCCTCTGCCTGACCTTCCCAGTGTTGGGAATCAAAAATATCACAGGTGGCATTTTCCACCCTTTTGGCAAGATTAAAGTAGATTCTACTTAGCTTGGCTGAAAAATGAGACAATTTAGAAGCGCTGGTGTGAGCAGTGGGTTTTCAGGGAGCCATGTGCCACCAAACCCCACACTTGGCCTCATTTTGGCAGTGGAAATCACAGCACCGTGTCCACTCCAGTGGCTCCAGGCTGGGTGGGGAACATGGTGCTGCTCAGACACTGCTGCCCTACCTGATTTTTCATACAGCTGAGCAAAACCACTGTTTCTGGCCCAAACAGAGGAACAGGGTGGATCTGTGTTGTATTAAAGGGCTTCTGGAGCCACACAGCTGCCTGCTCACCTTCAACCATCCAGCTGCAGAGGTGTGGAGGGCATTTTCTGAGCGTGCCTCACCGGTTTCCCACATTTCCTTTGAAATAGGAGCTACAAGGGCACGTTCCTGTGGGGAAGTGGAAGTTCCTGCCCAGCCCCACCAACCCCAACCACGACGCAGCCGCCAGCGGCCGCCCCAGCTCTGCCACGTAACCCCACAGGACCTCGGCACGAGGTGCCAGAGATGCTCTGCTGATGGGAAGAACTCGAGCCGGCACACAAAGGAGGCAAGGATCCAGCTGTAAATTAATATTTTATAGAACACCAAGAAAAATCAGAGAGGCTAATTACAGCGATAATCATCGCGGCCCGGAGGCATTTCCATGGAAGTCAGGAATTACCCAGGATTACCTCAGCCCTCGCAGCAGCCCGCGCGGGAGGCGAGCGCGTGCGGCCGTGCCACGGCACCCAGCACCTCCTCCTGGGCCAGCTGGGGGTCCACGACCCAAAATGAAGAGCTTTGGCAGCCTCCTGGCATCCCACTGCAGCTGCACAGCCTTTGGCTTGCTGAGCTGGCTGGGGTGGATGGAGGGGTGGTGGGGTTTGGGGCTGGGTGCTCCCCTGGGCCCCACTGTGCCTGTTTGTCCCCAGTGTCACTGATGTGGGAGCCACCGCTGACCCCAGGCTGCTCAAAACCCTGAGGGGTTCAGGGAACCACTGGCAAAAACTTTGTGGATGTGCCCCCAGGGAATGTTTTTCCTATGGTTCATTAATTTAGTGTTATTAACTGATATTTGCATAATTTATCCAGTGATGGAATGAATTCCCTTAGGAAAGGGTGAATTCCCCATCAGCTTCTCACTTTGGAGGATGGGGGCACTGCCCAGCTCCAGCATGGCACAAAGGTGGTTCATGGCAAACCTGGAACATCTCTGGGAGCTGCATGGCCAGGAGCTCTGCAGGCTGCTGTCCCACAGCCCAGGACAAAGCCAGGCCAGGCACCTCCAGGGGGAGCGGCTCGGGGAGCAGAGAAGCCTTGGTGCAGCTGCTTTGTGCCCCTGAGCTCGAGCAGAGGACACTGCTGGTCTGACACACAGAAAAACTCAGGTGAAGCCCCACGTGTGCTGTGCCCAGAGCGGGGAAGAGCCTGGGCTGAGGCTGGCCCCGGGCTGAGGGTGCTGAAGGTGCACAGATCTGTGGGTGCCTCTGTCTGCCCCCTCCCCTCCCCCTGACCTCACCCTCCCGAGCTGCCTGTGCCCCCCGGGCTCGGGGCTGTGAGAGCACCCAGGATTACAGGAGATGGTCTGGGGGCTCCAGGGGCTGAGGCCTGGGCAGTTGTGCCACCCCTTGGGTTTGCTCCTGGCGCTTCGAGGGTGTGTGATGTGCTGAGCTGCTCCTGGCAGCGCTGAGAGCTCCGGGGCTGCTCCGAGCGGGCTGCGGGCACCGAGGGCTGCGGGCAGGAGGGGGCAGCTCTGTCCTGGGGCACGGCAGAAGGACTGCTCGCCCTTCCCGTCCAAAAGTGAGTCCCCAAATCCCTGCCTGGTGATATCGCAAATTGTGCTCTCCTGGGAGCAGCATTAGCCTCCTCGCCCTGACCGGCCGCACTTCTGGCTCTGGCTCATGAAAAACTTCTATTTCATTTCTTGAGACGAGAACACCTCTGGTAGCACCAGCACAGGAACAGGACAGCTTGGCCAAGGCAGTCCAGGATGAATCTAAAATCTCCAGCCGAGTGTCCGCTGCTCGGGGAAGGTCCCTGGGGACACCGGCAGGAGGGACGGGAGTGAAGCGGGCGTGGGCTGCAGGGCTGCCCGAGCTCCCCCGGGCACGGCAGGGCTGCCCGAGTTTCTCCGGGCACGGCAGAGCTGCCCGAGCTCCCCCGGGCACGGCAGAGCTGTCCGGGCTCCCCCGGGCACGGCAGAGCTGTCCGGGCTCCCCCGGGCACGGCAGGGCTGTCCGGGCTCCCCCGGGCACGGCAGGGCTGTCCGGGCTCCCCCGGGCACAGCAGAGCTGTCCGGGCTCCCCCGGGCACGGCAGGGCTGCCCGAGCTCCCCCGGGCACGGCAGGGTTGCCCGAGTTTCTCCGGGCACGGCAGAGCTGCCCTTACACCGCTGCCTGCAGAAGAGACGGGCTTTGGGCTGGGACACAGCCTTGTGCCAGACCCCTTGGTCCAGCCTAGTGAGTGCTCAGGAGATGGCAGCTGTCCCCTTTGAGGTGCCCTCGCCCTTCATCCATGCCGGGTTTCTCTTCCTGAGGAGCACCGGGAGCCTGATGTGCTGGGGATGAGGAGCTCTCCCCGCTGCCTCCACGCTGCTGGATGCGGCGCCTTCCTGACAAGCACGGCTTAATCCCGCCCTGGAGCGCTCCGTGAAGGAATCAAAGCGTGAGTCATCTCCCTCCAAACCTCAAACCGTGTCACAGATTATCCCTCGTGCTGCTGAAGTTCTTTCTTCCCCCACACGCCTCAGTGCAAGGGAAGCAAACGCGTTTCGCACATCGCAGCTCCCGCACAGCTCGGGCCACCTGCGTCTGTCCCGGCTCGCTCTGCCCTCTAGTAGCGACTGCACTTACAGCAGTCGTAGAATCACGGCATCGTGGAATTGCTTAGGGTGGAAAAGCCTTCATCCATTCCCCCAGCACCGCCAAACCCAACATTAACCCGTGTCCCCAAATGCCACAGCTTTACGTCCTTTATATTCCCCCAGGGACGGTGACTCTGTCACTGCTCTGGGCAGCTGTGCCAGGGCACAGCCCCTGCACTGAAGAAATTTTCTTTAATGTCCAATCTAAACCTCTCCTGGCCCAAATTGGGCCATTCCCTCTCCTCCTGTCCCTGTTCCCTGGGAGTAGAGTCCCATCCCCCAGCTGTCCCCTCCTGTCAGGAGCTGTGCAGAGCCACAAGTCCCCCCTGAGCCTCCTTTACTCCAGGCTGAGCCCCTTCCCAGCTCCCTCAGCCTCTGCTGGTGCTCCAGCCCCTTCCCAGCTCCATTCCCTTCCCTGGACATGCTCCAGCCCCTCAGTGTCTCTCTTGAGGGGCCCAGAACTGCCCGCAGGATCTGAGGTTTGATTTGTGGGTGCCCTGCTCTGCTGCACCCCCAGCCTCCAGCCCAGAGTTCCCCTTGGCTGCCCTGGCTGGGCAGGGGCATGGCCAGGGATTTAAGGGCTGTGGGGTCACTGGAGCCTGCCCTGGCTCTGCTGGCATCCTTGGCATGGACATGCAGCTGCCACGGGCAGAGCTGTGTGGTTTTCCTGCAGTCTTAGCCCCTGAAGGAGTAATTCACCTCTCTCCTTTGCCAGCTAGAAAAATCCCTGCTGGTCACTGGGGCTGGAGCGTGGACGTAGCCTGGAATGGGTTTGGTGTGGCTGGAGTGGGCTGGGAAGGGCAGAGCTTTGAGGTGGGGTTAGTGAAAGTTGTCCCTGCCATGGCAGGGGTGTTGGGATTGGATGGTGTTTAAGGTTACTTCCAACCCAAACCATTCTGGGATTCTAGGACTCCCAGGCTTGGATTTTGTTAGACCCCCAGGCAGGTGAGGCTCCTGCAAATGTTTGCACTCAACATGATCCAGTGCAGGCACTGGGGCACAGAGTCATGGCATGGTTTAGGATGGAGGGCATCTCTAAAGGTCTTCTGGTCTGACCCCCTGCCATGGGCAGGGACACCTCCACTATCCCAGGGTGCTCCAAGCCCCATCCATCCTGACCTTGAACACTTCCAGGACTCCACTTCTCTGGGCACCCTATGCCAGGCATCTCCACCCTCACTGTAAAAAACTTCTTCATATCTGGTTTAAATCTACCCTCTTTTATTGTAAGGCCATCACTTACTGTCCTATAACAACAGGTCCTGCTAAAAACTTTGTCACCATCTTTCTTGGAGCCCCTTTAGGTCCTGGAAGGGGCTCTGAGGTCTCCCTGGATCCTTCTCTTCTCCAGGTGAACACCCCCAGCCTGCCCCCAGAGCAGAGAGGTTCCAGCCCTCGGGGTATCTCTGTGACATGACCAAGGACAGGACCCCAAATCTCGGCCACCAGCAGCTGGTGACAGTGACAAACTGGGGAGGACGATGCTTTTCCCGGAGCTTCATCAATACCCCATAACAACCCCTTGGCTCGGATCTGATCCTTGGCGAGACACCCAGGGACTCCGCAGGGCACAGGGGAAGCGTGGAGAAGATGGTGGCAACGCCACACCTGGAGAAGACGATGCCCAAACCTCTCCCTCTCACCGGAGCACCGCTTCCCCTCCGGGCCGTGCCCGCGGGAGGATTTCCAGCGGGATGCTCCGGACCCGCGGAGCGGCCGGGGCCGCTCGGGGGGCGCGGGGCGGAGCGGGGCGGGGGCGGGCGGGGGCACATGCGCCGTGCGCGCACTGCGGAGCGGCGCGGGGCGCGGGCAGCGCCGGCGGAGCGGGGCGCGGGGCGCGGGCAGCGCCGCCGGCGGCCGCAGCCCCGCACGGCCCCGCACGGCCCCGCACGGCCCCGCACGGCCCCGCACGGCCCCGCCGAGACACGTCCCGGCCCCGCCGGCGCGGCGGAGGTGAGCGCAGGGGATGCGGGGGGTCCCTGTGCCCCCAGGTGTGAGCGCGCATGGGGGGGCGTCCCTTCGCGGGGCATCGGGGGCGTCGCGGCCTTTTTGTGGGGGTCTCCCCTATCTTTTCATCCTTTTGGGTGGGCATCGGTGCTGGCGGGGATCTCCCACCGCTCTGCATCCTGGCATGGGGGGTGGGTGATCCTCTGCTGCTTTCCATCTTTCCGGTGGCGGGGGGAGTCCTTGCGGGGGAGGGGGTTCTCCATCCCTTTACATCCTTTCGGGGGGATCCTCCATCCCTTCGCATCCTTTATGGGGGGTTCTTCCGTCCCTTCGCATCCTTGCTGGGGGGGTGGGGGGAGGGCCGCTCTGCATCCCCGTCTTGCTGCATCCCCCCCAGCTTTGCATCCGTGCCCGGGGGCGGGGGGCTGTCCTCCATCCCTTCGCATCCTTGCTTTGGGAAGGGGCTGTCCAAGCCGCTCCGCATCTTTGCGTGGGGGGTCCCCCCACTTTGCAGCTATTCATGGACGGGGGTGGGGAGATCCTCCACGTTTTGCACCTTTGCCTGGAGGGGGTCAGGCTGCTCCGCACGTTTTCATGGCGGGGGGAGGGATCCCGGCAGCGCTTGACACATTTGCACCGCGGTGCTCCGGGCCTCTCTGCACCCTTGAGCTGGGAGGGGAGGGGGTGTGTGCGCTGTCACTTCGCATTCCTACATGGAGAGGGAGGGGGACCTGGCTGCTCTGCACCCTTGCATGGGGGCGGCGTGGGGGCGGGGGGGCTTCACCTGACATCCTTGCCATCCTGGGGAGGGAGGATCCTTCACCTTTACATCACTGTGCGGGAGAAACTGGGCCCACGCTTGCCTGTGCTCCCACAACCAGCACAGGGCAGGGCTCCTCACCCCATGGCTGGGGAATTGGGGGGGTCCAAATTGGGGGGGCTCTGCAGGCTGATATGAGGCTGGGCCACAGAGGGGACAGCGCTGAGCAGGGCACAACCTGCTGTCACCTGTCATGCACGCCCCCCCCTCCCCATCCTGGTGCCCTCCCAGGCGTTTGGAGCCCCGCCGGGTTCAGAGCCCCCTTGGTGACCCCCCCCAGCCCGGGCACCCCCTGGGCAGAGCTGCAGGTGGGCCCAGAGCCCCTCAAAGCTGCCAAGCCTGGGCCTCCACGCTCAGTGATTCAGCTACTTGCAGGGAGCTTTAATTTTCTCGCTTCAAACTCGAGTTCTTGCTGCCTCGTGGCGGTGTCGGCGCGATGGATTACCTGCGGATTGAGATGCTTTCTAAGGGAGTTTGTGGCTGCTCTGTGTGGCCGGCACAGCGGAGCCAGCGGCCGGACACGCTGCCGGAGGAGGGGAGGGCAGCGCAGCGCCGGGATGTGCGGGCAGCTCGGGAATGGCAGGATTAATAATTCATCTTCCAAACTTCAGCGTGCCAAGGCACACCCCGCACGCTGCAGCTCACTGCCTGGGTTTTAACGAGATTGCTGGTGTCATTTTCTTTTTTTAAAAATGGCGTTTTGGTGGTATTTGAATATCTCGGTAGCTCCCAGGGTGACGGGTCGCAGAGCTCGGTGAGGAGGGCAGGGTGGTGGCGGCATCGGTCCGGCAGAGCCTTGCTCTGGCAGGCAGAGGGTTAATGTGCACCGGGCTGTGCTGTCGCAAACGCAGAGCAGGAGCAGGGCTCTTACCCAGACCGCTGTGATGCACTCAGACCCCAAATGTCCGCTCCTTCTCCCGGGAGCTGATGCCCGCGGAGAAAACTGGAGATGAAGCATATTTTGCTTTGAGCTGTCATCTCCCTCGGCCCAGTTCTGAACCAAAGATGCTCATCCTCCATTTTATGGCGGATGACAAATCAGCCGCCGATGCCAAGATCTTGACAAGTTACGAACAACAGCCCTCGAGCCAGAAGTGTTAAGAAATAAAAAAAGAAAAGCAAGAACGCTTTTTCTTCCCCCCCCCCTTTTTTTTTTTTGCAGAGCTGCTCATCCAAAAAGACACCCTCTTGAGCTGCGCCCCGCGGGCATTTCACACATCTCTGAGCAGCGAGGCTGCAGCCAGCTCCAGGCTGGGATCTGCCTCCTGTTCCCCACATGCACCCGGAGTTTTGTAGGGTGCACGCCCGGCTGTGCTGGGGAAAGCCAGGCGGACAGGCAGGGGAGCGGCCGGCGGAGCGCAGCCCCGCAGGGAGCGGGCTGGGAGCGCTCTGCTCCGCGCCTGGAGATGCCAGCGCTGCCTGCGCCTGTTCCCAAAGGCAGCGGCGGCGGCTTTGCAGAAATCCCCTCTCTGCTGGCCCAGGGCTTCCCCGCTTTATCAAAGCGCCTTCTATACTGGGGAGAAAAAGGCTGGTTTGTTCAGCAGCGTCCTGCCCGCACAGCCCGGCAGCGAGCGAGGGAGATCCTTCTGGTAATGAGCTGGGCACAAAAGGGGAAAAAAGCTGTCATTGAAGATTTTCCTTTGGTGATAGAGTCATTAAAAACAACACATGATTCCTGGGCCAGCAGGGATCTTTCGCAGCCAAAGCAGAGCTGAGATGTGTGCCGTGTTCCCACAGCCCCAGCCCCTGGCTCCTCCTCTGAAGATCAAGGCAGTGCCGCTGCTCCCGGGCATTCCTGGCGCAGGAACCAGGCGTGGAGCAGCCAAGGGATGACGGAGGAGGGTCGTGCATAGCTTCATCCATAACTTTCCCCTCCTTTTTCCTTTTCCCTTCAGCATTAGGATATCGGGATGGACTTTTTTTTTTTCTTTTTTTTTTCTTTTTTTTTTTTTTTTTTTTTTTTTTTTTTTTTTTTTTTTTTTTTTTTTTTTTTTGGATTCTGCCTGGATAGGGATACTCTGATCTGTATCCGTAGCAGAGATAGAGGCAAAGGGTGAATGGGAAGGACCTGGAGAAGTGGGCCTCAGCTCCATAACCATTGCCAGGGCTCCCCATTTCTGAGAAATCAAACAACAGAACCCAAGCTCTGTGTTAACTGAATGCCAAGGAAAGTCCTGCCTGAAAATCCACTTGCCAGAGATGGGGCTGTTCAGCCTGGAGAAGAGAAAGCTCTGGAGAGACCTCAGAGCCCCTTCCAGCACCTAAAGGGGGCTTATCAAAAGGAGGGAAAGACTTTTTACAGGGGGAAATAGTGACAGGCCGATGTGGAATGGCTTTGAATCAAAAGAGGAGAGATTTAGATTAAAATTTAGGAAGAAACTATTGGCTGTAAGGGTGCTAAGGCCCTGGCACAGGGTGCCCAGAGAAGCTGTGGCTGCCCCTGGACCCCTGGAAGTGTCCAAAGCCAGGATGGACAGCAGGAATTGGAGCAGCCTAGGACAGGGGGAGGTGTCCCTGCCCATGGCAGGGGGTTGAATGAGATCATCTTAAAGGTCCCTTCCAACCCAAACCTTCCTGTGATTCTGTGATTTACAGCATTTGCTCTCACCTACCCTAAAAGAAACATCATCTAGGTAAAACCCCTCCAGCAGCCTGTTTGTTTTAAACCAGACTCACAGCAGGACGAGGTTTCTGTCCTGACCCCAGGGTAATGCTTTTATGGCATCCTCCTAAGCAGGGCTGGTGCTGCAGAGCCCATCCCTCGGCAGTGGTGGGGGTTTGGAGATGCTTCAGTCAAGCGCTGCTCCTAGAGCTGAAACATTTTACAGTAGAAGGAGGGGGGGAAAATATCCCCCAAACCAAACCACCAACGGTGACATTTACTAACAAAGCTCCCGAGGAATATTTTTAGCTGTGATTTAACGTTGTGCTGCACTTTGCTGTGAAGTGTTCCCTCGCTGCCGTGGGCCAGGAGGAGCCGCAGAGGGGCCGGGGGGAGGCGGCGGCGCTGCCCGGCGGGACACGGGGCGCGGCCGGGGAGCCCTGGAGCCGTGCCCCCGGCCAGCCGGCCACGGCTCTCTGCCCCCTTTGGCAGCAGGGCCTGGCCCTTCCCCAGCTCCTCCCAGATCTGTTCCTGGCCGGCAGAAAGATCCCTCTGGCCCACCCGGGGGCTGAGACCTCTCCTCTCGTTTCTCAGCCCTGCCTTCCAGCCTCTCTGATCTCCCGAGGATGGGGGACAAAGCCACCATCCCACACCCGGGATTTCAGCCTCCGAGGCATTCTTCCACCTGATGCTTTGCTGACCCTTTTGCAGTGGGGCTGGGGTGTTTCCGTGGTCCCAGACCATTCGTAAAGCCAAGCTCCTTTGGGATGCAGAGGTCCCAGGGAAGGGGCAGGCAGTGGCATGGTTCCTCCCATGCCCACCAGCCCCCAGTGCCGCCCTGAGAAATCACTCTTGCTGAAGACCTGCCCTCTGCTTTACTTGGGATCCAGCTGGTTTTAATATATTTAATGAACCTTTGGAGCAGCAGTCACCTTCCCAGGGAGCAGTGACATTTGTCATGCTGCTGGTGTTCTCAGGCACTGGGGCTGGCAGAAAGAGAAGAAGTGGTGGCAGATGCATTTTGTAAATTGGAGCAGCGAGTCCTTGCAGCTCACGCTCCATTTTGTGGGAGGTAAATCAGCAGATCTGGCCCAGCTCTCCCAGGCAGGTTTCCCCCTGCACCACAAAGAGCCACCTGCACAGCTTTTCCTGGCTGAACTTCTCCTGAGACAACAGAACTTCAGCCCCTGTAGGCTCTGCTCTCCCCATGGCTGGTAGGAAAAAAGGAGTTTAGAGCCACCTGAAGCAGAAGTTGCTCCTCAACCATGAGGTGGCTGCTGGTGGCCTCTCTGCCCTCTGCAGGTTTGTCCTGTTGCTCTTTGAACCATCCCACGCTGGTTTCCAACACGCTGTGGCAGAGCTCCACAAATTGACACCTCGAGGAGCTGCTGCTTTCACACCTACACCTATTTCTGTCTGCTCAGAAGCATCACACACCCCCAGATCCTTCCCAGCCCTCTTCTGCCTGATCCATCCTGCCAAACTCCACAGGATCAGCTCCTTCAGGCACCAACAACCCCACGGAGTGTCAGCTCTGCCTCTTGTCCTTTCCCTGACTTCAGATTCAGGGGTTTTGTTGCTCCTTTCACTATTTCAGGACTATTTTGTGCCTCCCTCCTGCCCCCAGCCCTTCTTCACCTCTGCATTCCAAGGGTTCTGCACCACAAGCAGCCACCACAAGATGTGGCACTTCTTGTTTGTTTAATATTCACTTACAAACTTTTTGGTCAAGGGTAAAAAGGTTTTCAAAAAAACCCCTGGTTTTTTTTCACTACTCTGGCTCCTGGCATCCAACCAAAGATTTGCTGCCTTGCAAAAGCCTCCAGTTCCTGGCAGTGTCTGCTCCTCAGGGCTCAAAAGGACCCTGGGGAGCCCAAATTGGGAAAGACCTTTGATTGCAAGGGCTGAGCAAACAGACTGCCCCAAAGCTTGGCCCAGAACTGAGCTTCGGGCAGGGCTGACCCCAGCTCCCAGTCTTGAGGTGTTTGTTTCACCACACAGTACCCCACACCCTCCCCAAATGCAAGCTCGGGGTTTTTCCTGGCTGGCTGAAGAGTGAAGGAGCTTTCCCTCATTCCTGCTGCTCATGCACCCCTGATCCCATGAGAAATCCTGGAGGTGCCTCGATGGCAGCATGGACATCCTTCCCTCCAGTGCTGCCCATCTCTGCCATGGCTCCACTCCCACTCCAGGCTTCTCCTGCAGGGAGCACCCACAGAAAACAAACCCCAAAATGGTTTTCTGCTCCACCACGGCTCAGTGAAGGAAGGTGGGAGCCAGGACACCTCTCCCTTCTCTCTCAGGCCACACCAAGCAGGGCTCCAGGGCTGCAGGTGCTGGGCACTGTCCAAGCCAGAAATCTGCCACAGGG